TACGGACTGTTGTTAGCTGCCATGTGGGTGCTGGAATTCGAACCAGGGTCTTCTGCAAGAATAACCAGTGTTCTTAATCGCTGAGCCATCTCCCCAACCCCAGAAATGCCTCTTATAATTCCCCACTCACTGTGTGTTGATCACGAGTCTGTCCCACTGGCCTCTAATATCATCTTCCGATGGCTGCTCTTTAATATAAAGCCCATCAAATTCCAATTTCCGTGCTACTTCCTTTTCTCATTTAAAAATAACCAACGGGACCTGCAGAGGAGAATAAACACGCCAACATTCACTTAGCTGGACTGGCAGCTCGGTGGTCACTCTCTTTGCAGAACAGTTTTTGGAGAGAAATATTTCTCCTTGCACTCAAAGGAAGGTAAAAACTGAAGGAAAGTCAGTCAGTTACACTCAGGCAGAAAGAAACATCTAGAAGAAGGTTTGGGAAAAATAGCACACAGATAACATATGTGTTCAAGTGTTTTAAATACATAGGGGTTATATATAATTGGATTAATGATACCATTCTAAATACTGAAGAGAAAAGAATCATTATGAAAAACTTGCTTTTCTTTCTTCTTTTTTGAGACAGGGTCTCCCTGTAGCCCCGTCTGGCCTGACTCACTATGTAGACCAGGTTGGCCTTGATCTCATAGAGATCTGCCTGCTTCTGTCTCCTGAGTGCTGGGACTAAAGGCATGTGCCTCCACACCTAGCAAAAACATGCTTTAATCTATATTTTAATTATATATATATAAAACTTTTATAAATCAATGTGGACAGATGTAAAAAGACAGCAAGTATTATTAATGTTCCCCCAAATACATGCTACTAATAGATGCATAGCTTTATTTGAGACCTCTTTAATAACTCCACACTCAGCATGGGTATATGTTATTTGGGGAAAAATTCAAATTTCGACATTTGTAAAAATCTTTGCTAGTTTGCCAAGACATCTCCAGAACATGGTGAGGACTCTTTGTACATATGGACAAGCAGGTGCAGACGCTGTGGAAATATCCAAGAATATTTACCCCCATAGGAGAAGGGGAAAGGGGCAAAGTTTCCTACAGAAACACTTCACACTCTAGTCTTTTATCCTG